CGGCGGGGGGCCTGCTGACAGCAATCGCTTCCTCCTCAAAGTCGTCCTTCAGCGGGTCCCCCCCGCTGCGGCAACGCATGTCCACGGCCGCCACGGCGCCGAGCGGCTCTTCGGACAGGTGAGGCGGTCCTGCGCAGGTTCCCAGCAGCTTGACACCGCCGACGCTCGCCCAGTTCCTTAGGGACCTCATGTAGCAGCTACAGTGGATGGGGTTGGCTTCAAGAAAAAAAAAAAAAAAAGTCGTGCAAAATGTAAACACTCCTTAACATTCGAATGTAAGAGCTCTGGTTACCAGTGAGGTTGAGGCTGGCAAGGTTTCTGGGGCCCGCGAGAGGCTCCAGGTAACGAAGCTGGTTGTGACTCAGGTCCAAGTGGGAGAGCAGAGGGGCTTCTGACAAAGCCTGATCTGACAGGTCCTGAAGAGACATGTGGCTGAGGTACAAGTGTGTGAGCTTTGCCATGGAGACGGACTCTTCGCCGAGGTAGATCATGCGGTTGTGGCTCATGTCCAGGTGCGTGACCTCCTTGAGTCTGCAGTGGAGGAGACAATCAACAAGAATGTCTAAATCAAACTAATAAGGCGATTTTGACCGTGGGAGGAGGAGAAAGTCCAGAATATCTGCTGCATCTCAAACGTAGGGTGTCACCAGGTCTCTGACAATTGCGGTCATGGCTATTTTAAAAGCTCCTACCTGGTCATCGCCTGAGTGGGGAAGAACTGCAGCTCATTGTGGTCCAGACTGAGGCGGGTGAGGGTGAACAAGCTTGCGAATGCCTCGGGAGCCAAGTTGTTGATGGAGTTATGGCTGAGACGAAGCCACTTGATGTGTTGCAGGCCCTAAGAGAGGCGGAATGGGCGCACTGAGTAACAACCACTACATTCTGGTACAGAGCCAGCTAAAGATGCATGATGGTGGACTTTTGCATTTTGGTGGTTGTGTCACAATGGAACCATTCCTCCTGGCTCAGAAGACAGACCTATCGTACCTGAAAGGCCATGTTGGGGATGTACACCAGCTGGTTGTGGACGAGAGCCAGCATGTTGAGTGAGCCAAGCTGCAAGAAGGCTCCAGGTTGGATCTCCTCAATACGGTTGTGGTCCAAACGAAGCTCCTTCAAAGACGAGAGCCCATCGAAAGACTCCTACAAATGTGGAGGAAGAAATTGTTCCCAAGAGCACACAGAGCGGTGGATGTTTTGGTTGAGTTTTCTTGCCTGGTAGAGGATGTCAATTTTGTTGTAGGCCAAGTTAAGGGAGAGCACGCGGCCCAGCATGCGGAAAGCTCCCTCCTTCACCTTCACAATGTTGCATCGCTGTAGATTGAGGTGGGTGAGGAAAGGGGTGTGCACAAATGCTCCTCTTTGGAGAACCTGCAGATTGTTATTCCTCAGGTCCAATTTGACTGTGATCTGTGTATGCGCCATTACATCGAGCGAGAGAAAAATCATGTCAGAGTTGATGTTTATTACAGTACAGTATGTCAAAATCATTAACTCCTCATACCACGTGCAATAAGTAGGCCTACATTTGTTTTAGTGAGCCACATAAAAAGATGTCTTTATTTTGACACCGACAGCATTTTGATAGATCTCACACTGCAGTAAAAACGTGATAAAGAGCATAGATTCCAATAGGACGCATTGGAATGCCTCTTCAAAGCTTCCTTGCCAGAAGAGCAGTCGTGTGAGGTTGAAGCGAGGCGGTAGACATCAATTTCTGACCTCGTCAATAGTCGGGGGGATGCCAGTCAGGTTCTTGCCAACGCAGGCCACGGTGAGCTTGGCACTGTCACAAGTGCACACTCGAGGACATTTGGCCGCTTCCACGTTTGATATGACCGCAAGAGTCCCCACGAAAACGGCAGCGGGGAGGACAAGCATCTGCGCAAGGGAGACGTTTGCATTTAAATGAGGAATTTAAATTGACTGCAAGGCACTTTTAAATAAATGTACTTTCCACTTGGGTTCATATCAAATATCAAAACATTCTGACATTTTTATCTTTGTAACCATTACAATGCACCAACCTAAATAAAACCCATGCTTTTGATTCAATTGATATCACCACGTTGGCTCACTGCCGAATTTGAAATAACAAACTATCTTACCTTCATGCAGAAGTCAACTTTTGTGTCTTTGACATTAAATGTTGTCACAAAAAAAGAAGAAAAAGAAATCTAAGTGAATTTGCCAGCAACTTCAACAACTACGCCCAGCGTGTTCAGCGGAGTCTGGAGTGCAATGGAAAAACGAGTCTTTGGTAAATTCTTCCTCTAGTGACCCCTGATCCCGGCACCCCCATCTGCAAATTAACACCTTGGTTTTACATTTTCTGCCCAGTTAGTTGGAGATGCTGCAAGGAATTTGCACATTAAGCATGACCAGTCAAATGGATTTGAAATGGCATGAACAGTTTCCCAAAGCAACTTAACATATCCAAAATACGAAGAAAAAAAAAACTGTTACCGGATAGACTACAAACGGAACTGATCTGAATAAGGCACAAGCCATCCAAACAAGATGACAACTCAATTTATTTTAACAATGCAGAGCCATAACAAGCTAGTGACTCAAGCCAGAAAATACAAAACATCCCTTTTGTCGTTAAACCTTTACTTTTATATTTAGCAGCTCATTCATAGCACACATTACACACACTGAACTTCAAGAACAAGATTAAAAAAAAAAAAAAGTAAAAGTAAATTTTGATAACAAAAATGTACAAAAGCCTAAAATGAAGTCATTAAGTACATAGTACAATATATTGTGTTGTGTAGAGCCAGCAGGTGAATGCCACCTGACCGTCTCAAAATTTTGTATTTATTTTTTTAAGACGTCAGCAGTTCCAAAGAGGATCATTATCAAGGTGTTATGCAACAAAGTACTACATGTCCTAGCGCACAACAAGCATCCAGTTTCAAAGAAATGCAGTCACGATTATTTGGATGAGGAAGATGCATCCTTGACTCAAATTGGAGCAAATGTATGGTGGTTCTCAGAGGTCCATTAAAGCTGTTTGTTTGTTCATTCGCAGTCTTCAGCTCTCTGTGCGGATCCTCTGTATGGTGGACTGAAGCTTGTGTAGAGAAGAGCCACAGGACTCCAAAGCCTTGTTGTTTCTAGGGATGACAAACATCTCTCGTGGACATGCACTTATACTGTATACGGTCGGACAAATGACAAAATGGCCGATCGTGCTGAAATGTCACAACCGGTTTCAAAACGTTATTTGGATGGTATCGTAAATCATAGAGACCTACTTTCCTTTGTCCTAGTTAATGCTTGAAGGAAATTTGTTGATTTAAAAAATTGGAATTACACTCAAGAATTGTGTGACTGTGGAGAGCCGCTGTTTTTAATTTCAAAGGAGACATATGCTCCCCCCGCCCCACAACTTGAAGAAGTTCTGTCTTAATAACATCCCTGTGACATTTTGCTTAGTTGAGCCTGTTTTGTTGGGCAGCTTTAGGGCGGGGCGCATGTTGAGCGCCTCCAACAAAAAAAAAAAAAAAAAAAAAAAAAAAAAAAAAAAAAAAAAAAAAAAGAAAAAACCGGGGGGAGTTTTATACCCGGA